GTAGCTTTGTCAGTTTTAGAGGATATAAATTGTGAGAGAAACTATGGGGTTGGATCAGTTGCTTTTTATTTTGCCAGAATTTGGAGACCTATTTACAGACGTCTAAGCAGACATTAGGAATTCCTGGAAAGAAAATTAACAATTCATAGCTTTCCAGGGTACTTGTCCTACAGTGAGAAGTAAATACAGAAGAAAAGGGCATGTGCATTGATTCTGATTTCAAATAAACTTGGATACAGGTTAATGTAAGAACTACATTCAAGATATTTCTACCCAAATTAAAAACCAATGAACTAGATGTTAATGAGGAGAGACATGTGAAACAGGGATAGATGCATTTGATGAAGATATAAAATAAAAATATGAAGAGAGAAGAAAATAACCATTTTGATGAAATCTTGGAGACAAGTGAGAGAGAAGTGGGTGCCAAGGAATTGGTATAAATTTTGTCAGAAAAATTAAGTGGAAATCATTATTTCCTCAATTCCACAATAAGAAAGAAAACAGAATTTAGCAGACATTACAACTAATAATGGACTTTAAAATAGATAGATGGTTGTACAGAAGGGGCCCAAATGAGAGGCAGTGGCTTTTCCCAGGCACTGGTGTGACTGAGGTTGGTGTTCCAGGTCCAGGAGGTGATGGTTTGAATGGAGATGGGTTGGGACAGGTTCACACTGAGAGAGGGAAAACAGGAAAACAGCCTGTGTGGGCTTGCAAGTGATGAACTGAGGGAGGGTGTGTGGAATGAGCTCAGTGGACTGTCCCTGGGTTTGTTGTGATGGATTTGACCATTTTCCTGCCAGCCCAGACAGGAGCAAAGCCTGTTGATGGCTCTCAGTGCTGGGGAGCCAAAGCTGGGAACAGCCCCAGTGACACCAGGATCGGGTGGGACTCTGAGAAACCAGGACAGAGGGTATTAAATGATCATTTCAGACACTGAAGAGATCATTAAAAAGCAATAGAGACGCTCAGCACATCTTGGATTTCTGCCTCTTCCCTTCTCTCCATGCTCTGAAATGACAGAGGCTTTTAAGGCCAGAAATGCTGATGAACAGACGCTTTAAATGATACTTTTATAATGTTTGAAGAAATAGATCTTCCCCACCCTTAGTAATATGAACTGCACCTACCCACCCCTCAGAACTGTGATTAACCCTGCACCACCCCAAACACCCTCCTTGTGCCACCTGCCCACACTCACTGCAGAGCAGAGGGGGGATTTTGGCTTTTAAATAATACAGAAAAGGCAGAAAAAGCATTAAGAAAGTGGCATAAAGTGTCAACCTGTTGAAAAGATTGACTCTGAGCTGAGAACACAGACAGCTCCTGTGCCATCTGCTGTACCTGGAGATATCTGGCAAAGGGCTGCAGCAGTGTCAGGTGGAGAAGCTACAGGAGACATTCTAAGGTCATGGATGGGATAAAAACAGAAAGAAAGGATGCTGTGTCCCTGTCTGGTGCCAGAAATGGTTTCCTGACCAATACCAGTTTGATGGGGAGAAATAAAGAAACTCCCAGAGTGCTAAAGGGAAATACAAATAGTTCTGAATAAGCACAGGGGGAATAAAAAGGAAAAGGGAACTTGAGGCTCTGCTGTGGCCCAGGGACAGCACCAGCTGTGTGTGTGTGAGGAGTGAGGAGGTGACTCCTGAAATCCAGACTGATGGTTCTAAACACCTTCCAGGAGGCATTTGGAGGAATTTAAAGGTCTATGAATCTCAGGGGACTTGGACTTGGCATCTACTCATCAATGCCAGCCATAGCCCTGGAAGAGATTTGTCATCCTACCAATTAATTTAGCCCCCAGTCTGCCAGTTCAATCTTTTGTTGTTTGTGGCCATTCTTAAAAATGTAGCTATTCCCTTTCTTTCAGTCTGTGGCTACTTGGAGCAAATTTTGTATTTGTTTAGAAAGTTCTCTATCAAACCCTGCCTTGCTTTACTTGTGTGCTTGGCTTTGGGATCTCACTTGCACAAACTGCAAGGCCAGATCCTGCTTAAGAGAAAGGATAAGGTCATCACTGTATGCCTGATATTTTAAGGTATTGGATTATATACCATGCTATCAAAAGGAAAAAATAGCTTTATTTTTATAGTAAGTTCGTCAAATATTAAAATCAACTATTTAAATTCAGTTGTAGTAACAAAAGAAGGTGAATTCTGGAACACAAAGTAGGGAGGGAAGTATTGTAAAGCAGACCTAGAAAATAGAAAAGATGGCAGGAGGGAAAGATTAATTTAGTTGAGTATTTTTCTGGCTAATAATTACATTTGAAAGGCCAAAGAACATGCACTCCTTATGGTGTCCATGATTGGAGAGGATATGAAAGTGTTTGGAATTTGACTTGATGAGTAATTTCTAAATGCAAATGTGTGGTGGTGGAGGCATCAGATGAGAGCAGGGTCAGCAGGGCTGCACTAACTCACCCCCACTGTGCAGCACAGTCAGATTAGTTCCCATCACTTGTGAACCCGGGGCAGAGCTCATTTTACTGACAGAAATCCCTGTGAAAGGACCCAGATGTCAGCGACAAAAAGGGAGTGAGAAAACTGTCCTGATTGAGTTATGGCAGAATTCAGGGAACTGGGTTATTGCTGCTGCCGTGGATGTTCAGAAAACCCCCCAGAAGATTTAAAGGATGATTCTGCAAAGTCCATTCAGTTTTCCTGGGCTGGCAGTTAATTTTTTGCATCACAAGGAAATTTAAAAGCCGTATCTGCCATTAGAGTAAAGACAAATAGCAGTGAGAGGCTGAGCTCCTGCCAGGAGGGAAATAATGGGCAGTGCTCTGAAGGGCTCCATTATCTTTAACGGGCCTTTCTTTGGAAGGCAATCACTACCTAACCAGGATTTTATGCAAATACCTCCTGAGGAGGCATTAGGAATATAGAGCTGTAGCACTCTGTATTTATCAACATCCTTTTGTTATTTTAAAAGCTATATTGGAGAAAACCCCAGGATGCCACTGTCCTCCCTCTCCCATCTGATGTTGAGGAGATCAGTGCAGGAGCAGCAGAAAATCAGTACAGGAAATTCCTAAAGCACTGCTGGATAAACTGGACAAATGTTGCTTTAGTAATCGAGTGGTCTTTTTAGGTTTACTACATTTTTTTTTCATTATGCCATAGAAACTTCCAAAATATTTTTCTCTGAATCTGGTCCCTTTCATAAATCCATCAGTTTGGGATTTGTACATTGCACTTTGTAGGCTTAGAACCTCTGGAACATACACTGTTCTGTTCCAATCCTGAGCACTGAATTACTTAAGTTGCTAAATTAATGATAAAGGGTTTAAAGTTTGTTTCTGTAAAATACACTTTACCTGATTATTGTTCTACCTGAAATGATTTGACTATTTCATATGCATATGGGCATGAATATGGAAATATTTGGTTATATTTATTTATATATTACTATATTTGTTTCTATATGATTATATTTACATATTATATTTTTATACATACAGTTATATGGCAATATATAGTCAGATACTTTTATGGGCAGTAAAATCTGCTGCGACTCTCAGGGAGTAAAATATCTGTAGGACCTAAAAACTAATTTTGCACCTCTGCAAAATATTTGTAGCTCAAGAAGGAGGTGAGAATTCCCATCACTTCTAGTTGTTCAAGTTCCTATTTGTTTAGATCACATCTGTGCTGCCCTCTGTTCTCTGCAATAAAATGTGTATTTTTTTATATGAATCTAAGATTACTGTGTGATATCACCTGAACTGACTCTGATCATACTTAGGCACTGATTTCACACAGTGAAAGTGTGTTTTCTGACCTCTCTGATGACAGAGGTCAAACCCAGAGCATTGGCAGGATTGTCTGATGACCTGGATGGACTTTCCAGTGCTGGAGTTGCAGTGACTTTGTAGTTCAGCAACGAGCCCAGGAAACTTCTGCAGACATTTTCAGCTGTGGTTTAATGGTCATAACCATGTGCTAGAGCAGGGGCACAAGTGTTAATTGTACATTCATCTGACACTGTTGAAAGTGGTTTATTATGTCATTAAGGATCAATAATGCCACAGAAATGACTGTCCCAGCACTGACACCCCTGAGCCAGTGGAGCTCTGCCTGGTGCTCTGCTGGGCAGGAGGCTGGAGCAGATAAATGTTCATCTTATCTCAGGCATCAGAAATCACCTCCCCTCTGCTGGGCTCCAAAGCTGTTCTCTCTTGTTCTCACTGATTGGGGTGAGGAGAAGTCTGGGCATCCCTGGCTGCACAGAACAGAGGGGAACACAGGCAGTGAGCTCAGCCTGCACACTGGGGGGGTTTAGGGGAGATTCACCTGGAAGTCCAACCTATAACAATCAGAAAGGAACCCCTGAACTTCTCTCTTGTAGCTGCTGTATGTGCTTGCATGCTTGGAGACTGAAGGCAGCTGCTCCAATGCTTTATTTTTGCTTTATCATTTTCCTCTATACCCAACTCTTTTACCACATGCAGAAAAAGGAAATCCCTGAAGTGCTTTTCCTAAAAGAAGGCCAGTCAGAACAGATCACAATTGTAGTGCAAATAGTGTTTATTTAATTTGATTTTCATGTACCCTTCATTGTCTACTGTCTTTTCCATTCTCATTTCCATCTGGAAGGCTGGGAAGGCAGCTGGCTTCCCAGCAGACACCAACTCCCCAATTAGGGAGCTGGCATGCAGCTCTGCTCCCTGTTTGGGAGCCTGGCTGCCTTGCTGGCCCTGTGGCACACTTGCCCACTCCATCCATTGGCACTGGGAGCCTGGCCCTGGGTCAGGAGTGGGAAGGGTTCCACTGGCTCTGGAACAGCAAGGACACTGTGTGTGAGCAGGCAATAGGAAACACAGGGATTACAGGGATTTAAAGGCAGTTTGCTGGGTTATCAGTGCTCTTCCCTGAGGGAAATGTGTTGGGTGTCTCAGCAGGGTGGCACAAGGATGCTCTGCTTGTGCTGCTGCCTGTAAATCAGGAACATGCTCCTGTTCCCCACAAACCTCTCTGTGGGATCTGTAACCTCTGAGCAGCTCTAATCTCTGAGGCTATTTTTAATCCTTCAGTTCTTCAGTTCAGTTTGTCTCCTCTCCTCTTCTGCTGTAGGTTCACATAACTCAGAAATACTGTGGACTTAGGTATTGCCAAAGATTTTTCTGATGTTCAAAGTCCCTTCCAAGGTTTCCTGCATTTTCTTTGCTATTCTGAGAAGCAGCAGAGCATGATCCTTGGCTGCTTGCTTCTCCTGATGTTGGCTTGCCTGCAGATTAGAGAATTATAGAGTCACTGTTCTAATTTAGGGGAGCTGGATGATTGGAAATCTAGATGAGGGAAAACAGAAGGCAAGCAATAAGCAATAAACTTATATAACATAGACACACCTGGTGTGTGAGTGTATTGTATAACACAGTTTCTCTCAGGCCAAAAAATTTCACAGAAATTACTTGAAGAGAGATTATTTTAGAACTGATAATTGTGGTTCTTGCTGAAATTCCTGGATCAGCAGTTTTATTTCTCTTTTCCCCTTCGACTTTCCCGTACCATTGCAGAGCTGCCCAGCACTCTGGCACAGACACCACAGTCAGTTTTTAGGACCTGTCTGACAGGCTCACAGTCACATCCATCCCCCCAAAATACTGCTCATAACTTGGGATGTCCAAGCTGCCACCAGCCATGTTCCCTTTGTTATTAAACCAACTGAGATTCCACCAGTGCCCCAACAAGAGGATGCTCCACACTCCCTCACAGAGTGAGCCTTTCCTCAGCCCTGGTAATGAATCAGGATGGACCCTTCCAGGTTAGTGTTATGAAAATTTAAGCTTTTTGGTTTTACCATATTTTTCACTGAGTTTTGTTTGGTTTTTTTCCAGAAGGTCTAAAGATAAAAGGTTCAGAAGGCAAAATTCAATTACATTTAGGAGGCTCATGCTTTTGTCTCTTAGTAAATCCAAACCCAAGAATAGATTTCACTTTTCCACCTTCACTTTGTGGATTCATACAGCAGTTATCTAAAGAGAACACAGCATTTTGTACACATCAGTTACTGACACAGGTTATTTTTATCTTTTGCTTTCTCCAGCAAACAAGCCTTGTTACCTTCCTTGTACAGAGAGCAGCTCCAGGCAGGGGAAAGGCCACCCTGGAAAATTCAGCAGGTGCATCTCAGAGCTGGCCTAAAACCAGAGAGCACCTGAACCAGGGAGGGACAACAGAGCCCACCCTTGAGTTGTGCCTTTACTCACTCACCCCCATCCTTCCAGCCCCTCCTCTTCCCCAGAGCAGCAACATCTGGGGGGTTTGCTTTCTAGTGAGGGGGCAATGGGAAAAGGGGAGATAATGGGCTGGTTCTAGAACCAAATTCTAATTAATCTGAACACAGAGATTGTTATGTCACCAAGCCCAGCTCCAACTTAGGCAGCAGGTGGGGTTTTATGTTGGAGCACAGGTCCCCCTGGGAGGTGTTTAGTTTTCAGAACGTCCCATGTGGTTCTTGGTTTTGATTCTGCAGACATAATCTGCAGCTTAAGAAAACAAATGTTTCATTTAATCATAGTGAATAGATCCAGAATCAATTTCTGTGGTTATTTCATCTCTTCTGGAAAGTCTAATGAAATCTAATAGATCAAGAAAAACTTACTCCAGTTATCATACACTTGATGACAGTTTTTACCAACTCCTTTGTCTGCCCTTCCTGGAGCAGAGGTCACCAGCCACAGGCCAATGTGTTTTAATAATCTTGGCCAGAAGCTGCTTTTCTTCCCCTTCATGCTTGAGGAAAGGCTGGAGGTGCTTTGCCACCTCCTCCAGGCAGATCCTCTGTGTGGGGTTGGAATCCCAGCCTGGGGAAGGTTCTGGCTGCTGCTGCATCCTCAGCCTTTGATTTGCATCTGCCCAGCAAAGAGCACTCCAGGGGTGACTTCAGGCTTTGCTGCAGGATTTTCTCCCTGTCCTGTTGCAGTTTGAAGGCCTTGGCTGGGTTCCAGGCACTAATTACATCCTGTTGGGTTCATTTTCCTGCCGTTCCCCTGCAGCTGATGTTTGTCACTCCTTGCAGGAGTGCAGGGTGGAACTGCTCTGAACTTCCAGGGTTCACACTGAACAGTTCTGGGGCACCAAACCCACCCCTGAACTGGGACTGTGCCCGTTTGACAAACTGAGACACAGAGGAGCTTGAAAAACATTATTCACACTTCATGACAATGCCAGTGGATTAACTGGCACAAAAGTCTTTTTCTGACCCAGCACCAATATTATACATCAGAATTCACTTCAGTGATCACAGATGAGATCTTAAAATAGGACTTCTCCAGTAGTTATGATTAACACCTGCTGTTCACAGAGCCTTTGAAAAAAAAACTGATGCAACCAAGAGAGTTAATGGAAGTGTTGCAGAATCCTGTAAAAAAAAAATTAACTATGTAAAAGTGGATTGGAAATTATTTTCTTGTTGTAATGATCATGTCTTGAACATTTAGAAAGGTAGGAAATCTTCTAAGATTCTTTTTTCCCACTGTACATAGTTTGCTTCCATGTCCTAAAGGTGTTCTTTAGTAATATCTTGCCAATGTTTAGTTCTAGTGCAGGGGAAAAGTGCCCAGTACATGAAGTGTGATGCTCTTTTGCTGTACCTGCTGCCAGAGCCAATATCTCAGAAGGAAATGGAGCCTTTAAAGTCTTTACAGAACCAGCCTTGTGGTTCTTACTGATGTAAGTACTTGGGAAGATGTTGTGATATAACTGCTGAGCCTCCCAAGGCATGGGCTGTTCTGCTGAGGTGATATTGCATTACATTGTGTCGTGGAATGTTTCTAAATAATAAAAGCAATATAATTTTCTGGCCTCCTTTTGGCTCTGGGTCTGCTCTGTGGGGTATTTATTCATTAGCATGTGAGAGCAGAGCCTGGCTGCTGGCTCAGGCTCCTCTGCTCCACTGATTTAAACCAGATTGGATAGATCTGCAATTCAATGAAGAACTTGCATAAAATTAAATCCCTCTACCTTATTATTTTTCTCCTGCATCTCAAAGCCCTTGTGAGAAATGCTTTAATTAAAGAAGCGTCACCATGGCTTTGGTTTCAGTCACATTGGTTCAGACTTTAGAACTGACATGATGCTCTGCCCTGCTCTGTGAAGAGAAAAAAATAAAGTGCTGAGAGGGAGACAGGAAGAAAATATTCTCTCCCTGTGTCAGAAATCAGATCTTGTAACAAGTTTTCCTTTGTCCTTTTGCTCCTGAACATCCTCTTCCACCCAGCCCAGTCCATGTTATTGGGAACAGCTGCTTTGGGAGGGTGGGATGAGGGGGATGTTTGCCCCTGTTGGGTCAGGACCTCTCACACACCTTTCTCTGCCATTTACACTGGAACTGGGGTGGTGCCCATTTTTGTTCTCTGTATCCTGAGAAAAATTCCTGGTTTGTGTGACTGCTCCAATTTAGTTTTTGTTAAACAGATTCACCCCTCCCTGAGCAAGCACAGAACTCCTGCATCCCATAGTTCCCTCTCTGTCACACAGAGCACAGCTGGATTCTGCCCTGGAATAGCATCAGTGTCCTCATTGATCCTACAGAACCCACCAAAGGCAGGAGTTGGACTAAAATCAGCTGTTCAACCTTTAACTCGTGCCAGGATGGAGAGGGGATGCTCTGAAGTCAGGAGACCTTCAGACCAGAGAGATCAGAGGGTTCACAGGGGTCTCTCAGGCTCAGCCCCTGTTCCAGCCCAGCCCTTGGGTGTGTGCAGAGTCCTGGGGCAGTGTCCTGTCCAACACTTTGGGTTGTCTGGGGGTGCCTGGCCATGGCTGAGACAGAAGAGTTCACTTTCCATTTTACATCTTTTCTTACTCAGGGCTGGTCACATAAATACTCAGATCAAACAGGGTATTATTCAAACAGATTTATTTATTAAGTGAATCATTCTGGGAGGTTTCTGACTTGAACAACAGCCACAGTAAAACCTTCTCCTGCTCTAGATTTACACCATGGTTTGATGTTGTGCACGTGGTGTGAGGCTGTATCACATCTGTGTTGTTTCCAGCTCTCCCTGTTGGACCATTTTCCAACATTATCTTGCATTAGACTGATAATGAGAGCTCTGGGCATCCCACTGGGGGCTGGGGTGGAGCTGCAGTTTAACAGGTTAATATTTGCACAACAGGTTTGCAGAGTATATCTTGGAGGGGCTGGCAGAAGGGATGGTCTTCAAATTTTCTGTCACTGCTCAGCTTCAGGTACCTCCATTAAGGAACATTTAAAGATAAGATACCTTCTAATTATGCTCAAGGAAGAATAGAATGTAAAAAGAAAAAGGAGAGAAAACTCACACCCAAACAAAAACCCAACTAAAGCCTGGTTTTCTATTTTTTTTCCTAATTATCCATTATATCCTTGTGGAATTTTTAACCATAAAATTTCCTTCTGTCATAGCATCTTTGGGCTTTCATTTGTATTTTAACCATTTCCCCTGTAAAAATTGTGTGTTTGTAGCTGAATTTTGGGGCAAATATCACAGTATTTCCTGTATGATGGAACAGGCAGTTTCCTTTCTCAGCAGAGTTGCTGTGAAACTTTATCAATTACTGTTTGTAGGTAACTCTGAAGTGGTAAAGCAGAAGCTGGTAGGGAACAGCAAGGAACTGTCATTTTTGACACTACAGGAAATAGGAAATAAATCCTGGAAATGCTGTTCTCTGCTTATCATGCCATGGACAATTTGTGGGGATTTGTTTCTTGAATGCTCCTTGAGCAAGTAAAATAAATGTATTTATCGAGGATGCAGCAAATGACAACAGCTCTGAGTAATTATCTTGAAATCTTTCTCAAATGCCACAGCTTTCAAAAAGATATCATATAGCATTTCCTCCAAACAAAGAGCCTCAGTAATTATTCATCCTTATTTTCCCAGGTTTGTTAAGTGGTTCAGCAGCCTGACTCTGGCAGAACAAAGGAAATGCAATACAAATGTAATCATATATTTGTGCTGCAGGTTTGGCCATGGCTCTGCAGTTCTAGAAGAGTTAATGCCCATTAAACTCCTCCATCCTGGTGTGTACACAAACAGCTGTGGCTCTTGTATAATTCTGAATAATTTTTCTATTTAATTTATCTATCTATTTATTAAATGTATTTAATTTATCTATTAGCTTATTTATCTATATAAAAAAATCTATTTGCCGTGGTAGTGTGAAAATACTCCCCAGAAGCAGGCAGAGAGAAGGTCCTGATCCCCAATCCTCTGCTGGGGTTCCATGGATCCTCCAAGTGCTTGGCTGTTCCACACCAGTGGTGTGACAACCATTGGTACAGTCAAGCTTCAAAGGCAGAGTCAGCAAATGGCTTTTTACAGAAGGTGCGGCAGCTGAAACTGTGCAATGTTCTGGCTCTGCCACAAAGGATTTTCTTTCCTGTACCCAGAGCAAACAGCCCCGTGTCCAGTTTGCACATCTGATTCCCTGCACTGATCCACACAACCCTGTTCCCCCAGATCCCACCAACCCCTCCGAGCTGGGTCAGAGCTGTGGGAGCTCAGGGGGTGTCTCTGAGAGCACAGCTCAGAACTTTGATTAGGAAAGGAAAAGCATTTTCTCTGCCTTTTGAAAATAGACCTGGATAGTTTACAGTAAGGGTGACTTCAACACCCCCCAACTTAAAATGGTGAACACTTCAGAGTTTTTGTAGAAACCCACTGATCTGGAGATATTTCTGTGACAGGAGGCTCCAGGATGGGCTGTCAGGTTTGAAAATCTGCCATTCTTCCCACGTGTTCCAGACTTTCCCCATCTCCAGAGCCAAATCTCCTTCAGAACCCTCTCTTTCTTTTCCCTTTCCCTCAAGCAAGCTAATAATAGAATCCAGTGTCTCCAGGATATTTTGGAAGGATGGGGTAGGGTCTTCCCTTTTTTTCTGTGTTTCCCAGACTAACTCTGCCTTCTCCAGGAGGTGTTTGGGCAGTGCTCTCAGGCACAGGGTGGATTCTTGGGGAGTCTTGTACAGGGCCAGGAGTTGGAATCGATGACCCTCGTGGGCCCCTTCCAATTCAGGATATTCTACAATTCTTACTTAAAAAATAAATGTGAGGGAAATGCTTTTGTTCAGCTTATCACACCCTAAAATATGTTACTTTTAAATACAATGTTTTTAATATAGGTCTCTTTAATTTAGAGAGCAGAAGCTTGTTTGGTTATTACAATATTAACTGGCTCCTGTTGTTAACAGTTCAATTCCTCAAGGCTCTGAGCAGACATTAAAGAGGTCAGGGGAGGAGACCAACAGTCCCCAAGGGATTTATTTCCACCCACAATCTTTGCACTGAAAACTCCAGTGTAATTTATAAAAAAAAGGGAAGAAATGAAGCTTCTTAGTGCCCTCTCTGGGACAGCACAGCCAGGCCTTTGGTGGGTGAACTGAGTTCATCACCTCCCTTTTCGTCTCCCTGCTCTGGCCAAGACCCAGAGAGGAGAAACAGAGAAGAATCATCTGAGCTTGGCTGCAAGGGAATGGGGAATTCCAGGAGCTGATTGTTTATAGGCACAAACAAGGACTTGGGTCCCTTTGGCAGCTCTAAAGCATCTCTGCTTGGCAGGAGTGGGGATGAGAGAGGTTACAGATATCAAACTTCTCAACTCCTCCCTCCTTCCCCCCAGACAGGACACTTTATAAACAAGGGAGACTCTGCAAAGTGTCCTGAGCTTCCCCTGCAGCCCAGGTGTGACTTCTGAGCCTCCCAGGGGAGAAAGGATCTCTTACCTCTGAGCAGCTAAGAAAGCCCTCTCCAGTCCCTCTTCATTCCACATTCTGATAGAGCCAATAAGGCAGGAATAATTTGGGATTCTGAGCCCTGTTTCCCTGCCCTTGCTAACTGTGGATCCAGGTTTCCCCTTCCAACAGGATCTTTTCTTCCCAGGTGAATGTTCCAAGGAGGTAAGACATGACTTGTGTCACTGTCTTCTCTCTGTCCCAGTATTGAACTGGGAAGGTGCCAGGGGGATGGGACTGTGGAATACTTGGATTATTCTGTGTCTAGAAAAGGGCTTCTTTTCTTTTGTGGCTGCTGTTTCCTCCAGTTGGATCCAGAGGGTTGAATATGGAGCTTTACTTTGCATTTTGCAAAACGTTCCAGGCTTCCTTTCACTGAGACTCAGTTACTGCAGCTGCTTAATTAACTGTTTCCAAAATCCAAGAAACTATAAATCTTCATCCCAGCAGGAACTGCATTAATATTCTCAGTGATGAAAGGCAAACAAGATAGTGTGTCACAGCAGGATGTCTCTTTCTATAGGGACAGATATTCCATCTTGTTATTAATGGTAATGTTTTGTGGAACTAGTATAAACAGATTTGCTTAGAAAAGGGAAATGATGCTTTTGTTATTTTTTGGAAGTAAATGTTACATGTTACTTAAAATAGAAGATTTTTACAGGTCAAGGTAGGTGATGGCCTCCCTCATCCAAGCAAATTATCATCTCACAACATGAAGATTTGACTTGGTTCACAAAGGTAGTTCTTTAATGTCAAAATTTAAAATAGGCTGCAGTAGCATATATATTGTTTGGGGTTTTTTATATTAAAATATGACTAACACTTCCTCCCTGGACATGTAAGGGTTTGGACTCGTGGCATAAAATACAAAGTCTTGAGGAAGACCTTAGTTGTTATTTCAAAGCCCAAATGAGGTTCCTCAATAAGTTGATATTGTGAATCTTTTTAACAGTGTCTGAAACCTGCAGTTGTTTGTAGGTAAAGCAGCAAATTCTTTTTTAATAATGTTATTATTTAATTCATAGGACCCTGTGCTCAGTCAGTTCCCAGTCTCAATCAATCTGGAACAATTCTACTGTTTAAAAAATGAAATAATATAAAAATCCCCTCACAAGCTTCTTGATTTAGGAGGGTTTCCTAAGCTCTTTAGGAAATGTGGAGTATTTCTACCTCTTCAACCTGTCCTTTGTGTGATCCCTCATTTCTGTTGTGCTTGGGGTTATCTCCAAGGTGTCCTTGCACTCCTTGTCATTAAATAATGTCCAGCTGATTAACACTTGGAACTGATTTGGGAAAAGCCTTCTGTAGGTTTCTCCATAAAGTGAGTATTAGATGGGAAGTGTTTTATTTTGGTTTGGTCTGGCTTTCTCTTTTTTTATTATTATTTTTAGCGGGGTGTTGTTCATAAATCCCAATTTGATCACCAGAGTACACTCGTATGGGTTCCAGGACATATCCAGCTTTCAGCTTACTTGTATTAACTCTGCCCTTTTGAATTCAATAGAAATTCAATAAATGGATTTAGAAGTAAAAATCCCTCCCTTAAAACCAGCTTAAGGCTGAGGAATGAAGATCCCAGTTCTGCTGGTTACCCCTGACAGCCTCACTGGCCTTTAGCATTTCAACTATTTCAGACGAAAATCTCACCAGAGAGGCAGAGAGGGTTTCCTCACTGGGTGGAGATTAGAAGCTTAATTTTCAAATAGCAGATACACAAGTTGTAACTCACAGACTGGT